CTGCACGGGAGACACCAGACACAGTTTCCACATTTTTAACTTTTTTTTTTTTTTTTTTTTTGGGGTCAATGTCTAAAAATAATTCTGCAAAATGAAAAAAAAAAAAAAAAAAAAAAAAAAGCATAAGGAAAGACGCTTCACCAAAACACTCTCAGTTTGAGCAACGCGCTGCGCGGTGGGTAGAGGTGGTGGGAGGACCCCGCGGGGGTGGCGGCGGTTGGGCTGCACGGGGGCTCCGCTCCGCTGCCTCGGGCGCAGGATCTGGCCTCCGGCCGCCGTGCCACATGCTTACTGCATCACCGCCCAGACGGCACGTTGGGAAATAACCCCGGGAGGGCACGGAGAGACCCTCCCCGCCGAGTGCTCCGGGAGGACCCATCAACTGCTTGACATCTGCTCGCCCTTCCCCAGGCTGCAGGGAGGAGAGCCCGGAGCTCCGCCGAGCGCCACCCAGGCTTTAAATTTATTTTTAAAATTTATTTTTACCCGTTCTATATTATTGTTCATATTTTATATATTTTCATTACTAAAATAGTGGGGGTTTAAAATTTTTTACTTTACATTTTCTCCCAGGAAAAACCCGCCCTGTCTCTGTCGTGCTGCTCCACCAGCCTCGTGAGCAGCTCTGCACCGCGGGTGCCGGTGCCTCCCTCGAGGCTTCTGGTCCTCCCCGACAGCTCTCCAGGGATGGCGAGCGAGGGTCCCCAGGGGCTTTCAGGTCCTGCCCCTGCACCCAAAGTCTGCTGAATTCCATAGCAAATCACAACCAGGCAGCGAATCATTTTTTTTCCCTGCGGTTTGAAGGCGTGCAGAAAACCGCTGCAACATTCGTTTGGGCAAAGCTCCCACTGGCTTCAAAGAAGGTGCTGCCGCAGCAAAGGCTGGGGCACAGCCCGAGGTCGGGCCCTGGTGAGCCGGGGAAGGAGAGGGAGTGACGAACGTCCGAGGAGATAAATACAGGCGGCGACTGACATGCAGTTATTGGCTCCGTGTTGGCAAAAAAAAATAATCCCGCCGAAGCCCCCGGCGAGTGGTGCCAGCAGGAGAGGGCGCACGGAGGCACTCCCCGGGCGACCACCGCGCTGGGTGCTGGAGGGCGTTTGTGGTTCCCCATCTGCAGAGGGTCTGCCGGGCCCCCCCGGCCCCCCGGGCCCCCGCTGCCCCACGCCGGGAGGGCCGAGATGTCGCCCATCCCCGGAGCCCTCAGTCGCCGGCGCTTTGAGCGCGCACGGCGCCGCTTGGCTGTCCGTAAGCCGGCGGTTCTCTGCGGCCACCCCCCCCCTCCTCGTTCAACTGCAAAGTTATTAGTGATCGGTTCTGCCTGGCTTTGCTGGCAAGGGCTTATGGTCTGTCACTGTATTTCTATTTAAGCACGGTCCCTATGCTGCTCTTGATTAAAGGCAAGCTACTCATAAATAATTACACGCTAAGGGCCTTAAAACCGTGCAACCCCTCCGAGCAAATACCTGGCTTGTTTGTGCTGTTCGGTTTGTCATCTTTTTTTTTAGAGCCTGTTCATCGCTCGCTCCCTTTGACGTGTACCAGTTACCGGGGCAACCTCCAGCACCCGGCAGGTTCCACCCGGGGCTGGCGCTGGGGCTGCCCTGCCCCGGGGTCCCACCTCCCGTGGGAGCACCCAGCGACGGGACGCTGCTCCAGGCCCCCCGACCTATCCCTGCCTCCCTGCCAGCCTGAAGTTGATATTCTTACTGACGTGAAAACCCAGTCGTGCGTAAAACTGTCATTTCGAAACTGTGTTAATAATAAGGAGACTAAAAGAACTGAGTAAAACGTTCTTGTGACACCAGGTGTCTGCAGGGGAGAGGGCTGCGGGAGGGAAATGACATCTTTCGAAGGTAAAATCATTAGAAAATGCAGATGCCACACCAAGAACTTCACTTCCCCGCACCGAAACCTCAAAGAAAACCTTAAAAAGCGACCTGAAAATTGCCCGAGAAACAGGCAGGAGCGTCCGAACTGGCAGGCGCTTGCAGCGAAAGACGCCTGCCTGCCGCCCGGCCCGAGAGGCGCGGCACGGGGAAAGCGGCAGCGCTCCCCCACCCCATGGCTCTGGCTCGGAGGAACCGGCTCAGTCCCCCTCCTCCTCCCAGACCCGGCGCCGGGCGAGGGTAAACAGCCCAGGTGGAAATCGAGACTGGAAACCAGGAGGAAACCCAGCGCCAGCACCCGCGGTGGAGGCAGCGGCCGCGAGCCGGAGCTCCCCTTCTCCCAGGGGGGAGCGCAGGAGGGCGTGCGGGTAGGTTATGCTGCCAAGGCTGCTCCCCAGGCTGCAGCTCGTGCCGCGGGACCTCGGCGCCGCTCCTGTCCACCACCCGAGCCCGGGGATGCCGGCAGCTCTGAGAGCGAAAAGCCACCTAGAGATTTGGTTAATCTGGAAAAGCAAGAGCCCAGTTAACGGGGTCAGCCCTCACCGCTGACCTCCTCTCCCCAAGACTCGTTTGCCCAAGCTGCCAGGGGACAGGTCTCACCCGGCGCGGCGAACTCGGCCCATCCCACCCATCTCCACATCTGGCCCGCGGGGGGGTTTGCAGATGTGCTCGCTCCCCGGACCCAGGGGAGACCCTGAGCCCCGAACACCCACGCCGACGGGCTGGCAGTAAAAGCCAGGGGAGCAGCACCCAGACCCCCACGCACCCGGAGGCTTCAGCCCTGGAGGGAGGGAAATCTTTTTTACACCATCATTTATCTTCGAGACACGCTGTCTACATTTATATTCTTAGAGTAAGCGCCCAAGCAGTTGAATTTTTTTTTTTTTTTGAATTTTTGTTTTTTTTTTTTAACTGCTGGGCGTGCAGATGGGCCATTTGCATACTGCAGCTACCGGAGCCGCGGGGCTGGGAATGTCCCTCGTCCGCGCGATGACGCGGTTCCTGGAAACCGTAGTGATTTTGAGACTAGCTCGTGAGGTCAGAGGCAGCCGACGTCTCTCGGTGGGGAGCAGTGGCGGGGCAGAGCTGCGTTGCCCCTGGCCTCGTGCACGCTCGCGTGCCCGTGCTCAGCCTCCCCGCGCGATGCGCCCCGCGGCACCCCGGAGCTGAAGGAGGATCTGAAAGCTTTCGGTTCGGTGGAGGCTTGAAAAATCACCTTCACAAGAAATGCTGCCCGCTGGAACGGCGGCTGCTGGTGCTCCCAGAGCCGCACCGGGACGCCGCGGGCTCCAGTAGCTCCACTGGTGGGTTGGCCCCAGCCCCCACCGGCTGCCTGAGAACCCCTCACCAGTGGGATGGGGCGGGGAAGCGGAAAAGCAAAAGCGAGAAAAACTCGTGGGTTGACCCGGGATGGACGTCTGAGGGCACACAGCTCTCACTCCCGGTCGAGGAGACGAACGAAAAAGCAACTCCTGGCCAACAGTGACACCAAAACTTGGGCAGCACCCACCCAAGGGCCGGTGGGAACCGCCGTGGCCACAGCTACACCCGCGTGTGCGCGGAGGCGCAGCCTTGCAGGGGCTCTTACCCAGCCCTCCACGTTTACATCTGAAAAGAAAGAACCTGATCGATGATGGAGGATTTCTTGGGAGACCTCTCCGAGGCCACGGTTCCCACCAGGTATTTTTCGCGAGTGGCAACGACACCTGAACTGCTCTCGGGTGGGATCTGGAGACCTGCACAAGCCTCTCTGGGCTGCCTGGGCTGAAGGAAGAACCGAGTGTCTTTGGGGTGAGGGCTCCTTGCTGCCCATGGCTTGAACCTGGCACGGCCTGAGCATCGATGGAGCTTTCCCAGGCATCTAAGGCACGAAGAAAAATAGCAGCCGTCGCCGCAGAACCTAAACCAGAGCAGCAGCACTGACATCGTGGATGCAACGGAGAGAAGCTTTGGGAAGGAAAGGAAGAAAGACCGAGTCTAACGCACATTTGTAATGATGCGTTCGCCAAATTACAAGTCAACAAATGTCAGTTCAACCTCGGCAACAACGTCGGGGGGGGGTGCGGTGCGTTCAGTACTGCCATATTCTGCAGGTGATGCTGAAGCAAAAATCACTGCTGTCTCCAGCGGCTGGGTGCACTCCCAGCACGGGCACACACATGAGCAAACACCCGCAGGAGAGGGAACGGGTGCTCCTCAGGGTCAGGGCTGCACGTGGTTCTCCGGCACCTGGGAATATCTGCTCTTCTCTAACTCCAGATAAAAGAAAGTAAAATAAATCTAATTTACCTATTGATCTCTCTTGTACTTTATATAGAGCATGTAGTCCTAACACGCTCGCGTGTTTTCCCTCTGCACCGAATGATGAGCCCTGTGGAAAAATGATGCATGTGGAAAAATGGTATTTGACCTATCATGGTGACGCACGTACATACAGAAAGCAGAAATAAGTATGAGCTGGCATTTCCTAACCGTTGACATCACTTGTACCCGCCCCCAGCCCCCCCCCCCCCCCCCAGCCCACACCGGTGGGACCCCCACGGCATCTGCAGCCACCAGGAACTCTGGGGCTGACCCAAAGGAGGATGCTGGAGGGCGCGAGCCGAAGCCAAGGGTGCTGCTGGTGACAGCGAGCCTCGCCGGCAGCGGGGCTCCCGCCGCGCAGCACGGAACCAGCCCTGCCCCAGAAAGCGCTTCCTCTGCTGGGAAAGCAAGAAAGGCAGCTGGGGAGGGGGTGGGAGTGGCACGGAGCCCCCCCCCCCCCCAGCCAGGGCAGCCCCCCCGAGCCCCACGGGTGCCACGGCTTGGGGCAGCGGCCGCCGTGGGAGGACCCGGCGGGCGTAGCGGTGCGCTGGGGACCCGGCGGGGTGGGGAGGGGGAGAGCCCGGAGGCAGCACGGGACCCTTGAGGGGTTCGCTCAGGGACGGGCCCCGAGGCTGAACGAGACGGCATCGCTGCGGGGTGCCGGGGCGGGGGGGGGGGGACAGTCAGCAAACCGCTCCCGCAACCTTCCTTCCCCGGCGGCTGCAGGCAAAGGGAGCGACGGAAGGAACGGGGCAAGGTCCACCAAACGCCGGAGCTGCGGCCGCTCCCTGGGGCTTCTGGGGCTGC